TTATAAAAAATCTTGTAAAAATAGATACATTTCTACTTACAATTACTTGTAAAGAAAAACATATTCTCACGACAAGCTTTTATATCACATAAAATAAAAACACCCTGTACATATATCGTCAGCTTAATTGTAAAAGCTCGTAACTCCAATTTTTGTGAAAATTGCATTTTAGCACCATCTGACGGACAAAAATGAATGCTATTGTTAAGAAAAGCTGGCAAGTCCATAAAAATTCGACATTAGAGAAATCACCATCAGCGTAAAACACGTAAATCCATACGTTTTAAAACTGACATTGTAAAACACGTATCTCCACCTTACTCATTAGTAAGGTTATTGTAGTGTAAACATGCGGTGTGGTGTTGCGCTCATTTATTGATACTAACTACTTTTGCTGCACTAAATTAATAGTTTTTGGAAGTAGCTAAGAGGTAAGTTGTAGCCTTATTGCTTTTGTTAAAATTTATCAGTTCTGGGAGTGATAACTCTGTAAAAAATCCCGTTAAAGTCTTAATTTGGATTTAGGAGTTTTACTCTTTTAAGGTATTATAAATTATTTATTAATTTAACGGAGTTACGATAAATTCTACTTACGAGCATTACAGACTTATTGTCATAGAAGAAATAATTCTAAGATAAGGTTTCTTGGAAAGACAGTATAACTAATCAATTCATTGCTTCCGTGTGTTTACAGGATGTCGCGTGGAAAAAAGTGCGTCAGTTTGGCTTTAGCCGGAGAAAATGACCCTCGGGCCATTTTAATGAGTAAGGCAAGTTCAATGGCGTCAACTTCTACCGGCGGTTTTCAGAAATTGTCCTATGATGATGGTTTACTTTTTGAGTCAGAGACGGCGATTGATATTATGAACACCCCAATTATTATAGAAGATTTCAATAGTGAATTACTAATAGACAACAACCAGCACGATTTTATAATAGGTACTACCAACAACCAACAGACAATTCCAATAGCCTTAAGCAACAACACCTGCGATGTCCGTAACCAAAATAGCGAACCCCCACCAGCTTCCTTTGATGATGCTGAAAATGATGCAGAATTTTTCCCTGATAGTGACGAAGAAATGGATCAAAATTCTTCAGAAATTGACATTAGTGTCTTGCAGGATGATGAAAGCGACGCACCTATTAATGAACAAGTACAATCAAGAATTGTTGAAGGGGATATACTACGTGAGAAAAATCTGGTGGCGTACAGTGACACTGAAAGTGACCAAGATGCCGTAGAAGATGACATACCGGAAACTGAGATGATAGAAAGTAAAAGAAAGAGACGTAAAAGACACGAAGTTAATGAATCTACTTGGAATTCAAGAAAAGTGAAACAAGATAGAGAGAAAGGTTTGAAATATTGTGGCAGAAAGAAAATAGATGGCAAATGGAGATACAATGTTAAAAAGGATGAAAGAGTGCTTAAAGATAGATGCAAATGTATTTTGACAGATCAAGGGGCGTTAAGGTGTGGAATGTTTACAGAAGAAGATCGACAACAAATTTTTAAAGAGTTTTGGTCAATGTCATGGAAAGAAAAAGAAATATATACTAAACTATTGGTTACTATGAAATTAACATCGAGAGCAAGGGGCAGAAAAGTAGAAAACAAGTCAAGAAGAAAATACACAATTGAATATTACTTAAGAAGACGCGAAGATAGATTAAAAGTTTGTAAAAAAATGTTCACAAACACACTGAGTGTAGGTGAGTGGACGGTCCTAAATTGGAAGAAAAGGAGTGCATCAACCTTAATATCTAAAGACACCGAATCAGATAATGACAATTCAAAACCACCGACACATAATGAGCAACCAGAAACGTCCAATCGTTACACACTTAGACAGAAACCGTTTGCAACTCGAATTGAGTCCTTGGACAACTTTTTTTCCAAATTACCTAAAATGGAATCACATTACTGCAGAGCAAGTTCACAAAAACTTTATCTAGAACCTCTGTGGAAATCCAAAAATCAGTTGTATCAGTTTTATGTAAGTGAATGGTGCAAACCGAAAAATGAAAGACCCTTATCTTTAGCCACTTTTTTCCACACTTTTGACCGAAAGAATCTTAGCCTGTTTCGTCCAAAAAAAGATGAATGTGATACCTGTGTAGCTTACAAGACTGGTAATTTAACTGAAGAGGATTATGCCATTCACACAGCCAAGAAAGAAGAGGCACGTGCCGGAAAGGAAGCGGATAAAAATAATGAGAAGTATGTATTTACGATGGATCTACAATCCGTTCTTCTTGCACCTAAATCCAATGTGTCTAGCTTGTACTTTAAGACAAAATTAATGGTGCATAATTTTACAGTGTACAACTTAAAATCGAAAGAGGGCACCTGTTATTTGTGGAATGAGACAGAGGGCGCACTCACTTCACACGACTTTTCTTCTATAATCGTAGACTTTCTCTTAAAATCACTTCCAGTAGATAACGACAACAATAAAATCATTTTGTACAGTGACGGCTGCACGTACCAAAACAGGAACGCGATCCTAGCTAATGCACTTTCAAATGTTGCCATCCTGTATAACATTACAATTGAGCAAAAAATTTTAGAGAAAGGCCATACACAGATGGAAGCCGACTCCATCCATTCCACCATTGAACGTCACCTAAGAAACAAAAATATCAACGTACCTGCTGATTATGTAGATGTTTGCAAAACCGCACGTCAAAATCCAAAACCCTATACAGTTTACTACTTAGATCATAAGTTTTTCAAAAATTTCAGCAGTATTCAGTTCTACAATTCCATTCGACCTGGAAGAAGCCCAGGAGACCCAGTTGTGACAGACATCCGAGCACTGCAGTACCAACCAGATGGTGTTATTTGTTACAAATTACGCTTTCCCGATGAATGGACTCCACTGCCGATCAGAAAAAACAAGAATCTATTGGCTAAACCAATAGTCGATTTGCCCCATTTATATAAGGAGAGACTTAAAATTAAAAAAACAAAATATCAACATTTACAATTTTTAAAGCAAAGTTTGACCGCAGATTACCACCTATTTTATGACAACTTGCCTTACGACGATTAAATTAAATTAAATTCTTCGTTTTCTTTGATATTATGTAGTTCTGTTTGCGTTTAAGAATAAAGAATTTAGTTTGACAATATCATTATTCTCAATTATTATTCCCAAAACATTAATTAATCATACCACGTAACTCCACAATTGTGCCTATTTTTTTCACACCAAAACACGTAACTCCTCTATTAATGCTTCTTAAGCTAATTTTTACCTATAAATCAAAATTGGAATCTAATCGTTTACTCTAAAAGGTTTTAGTAAGCACAAATGATTTTAAAGGAAAATTAAAAAAAATAAGCAGTTTTTTGCTTCCCCTGAAAAATTTACTATTTAGGAGTTACGAGTATTTACAATTAAGCCGACGATATATATTTTTCTTTCTTTCAGATATTTCTCCACTGGTATTTCATTTAGAAGCTTAGCTTTCTCATTTCGAATGGGTAAAACTACAGTAGCAAATATTGTTTCGGAAATTTCAGAACACATTTGGATCTCTTTATATTAAATTCATATGCCTGTTCCATCTCAAGAAGATTTTAGAAAAATAGCAATAGACTTCTACGAAATTTGGAACTTTCCCAACTGTGTTGGAGCGCTAGACGGTAAACACATCCGTATGCATTGCCCAAATAATTCTGGATCAATGTATTTTAATTATAAAGGTTTCTTTTCAATTGTACTTCAAGCACTTGTTGATGCAAACTACAAGTTTATCAATATTGACGTTGGCGGTTATGGCAAACAGAGCGATGGTGGTACATTTCAAGCTTCTGCTTTATATAAAAAATTGACCACACAAACCCTTAATTTGCCTGGAGATACAGCTTTTCCAAATTCCGATTTAATTATGCCACATGTAATAATAGCCGACGAAGCATACCCACTAATGAAGCATTTACTTAAACCATATAGAAAACAAGAATTAAATGCAGATAAGGAATATTTTAATAAACGTTTGTCCCGTGCGAGACGAACTGTGGAATGTGCCTTTGGAATTCTGAGATCAAAATGGCAAATTTTAGATAAACCTATATTGACCCATCCTGGACATGCAGATAACATTATTAAGGCAATTTGCATTTTACATAATGTAATTATTGATAAAGAAGGAATAGAACATAATTTGAAAGAAACTCAATTTGTCTTTCAAAACGAAAATAGACAAGCACCCGCAGGCAGAGTTAATAATGAAGCAAAAGTAGTACGAGATAATTTTAAAGCTTATTTATGTAATAATCCGTAAAACTTAATATGTACCATCCTTTTTATAAATAAATAAACTTATATTTACCTGTTGTATTGCATTCCTCAGCCACCTCTTTCCACAACTTCGATAATAATATCGAATTATGATGATTTCTACTATTTTTGCTCCAGATCGCCTCCCTGGTAAACACACTGGTAATTAATTTATCCTTATTCATCTCGCTAATAATTTTTAAAACAAAACAAACGACCATGTGCGAGGCTCCGAAAAATACTAAGCTCAATTTACTGTGCGATGCACCTATGTACAAGGGCGATGCGAAGCGAGGGGCGGTGCGCCGGTATGGCCGCACGCATTGAATTCAATAGTTAAATTTGCTTAGCACACGGATGCTAAGGTACAATGCTAAGTGCGGTGCGATGTGCGGTGCTTCGTTATGGCCGCCCACTCATTTAACATAGCATGTTACCATCGCCTCCAACATTGGGCGTGCGATGTGCGATGCTTCGTTATGAACGTGTGCCTTTAAATGTATGCTTTTATTCGCCTCGACCGGTCGATGCTATGTACGATGCTAAGTGCAGTGCGATGTGCGGTGCGCCGTTGTGAACCCACTAAGGCAGCGCGGCGTGGGATAATGCTGCTTAGCGCGGTCGCACACTGACAATGCATCAAACATGCAGCATGCAACATGCGACATGAAGTAAATGTTGTATGTTGGATAACCTCGCACATATACAGCAGCATTAGTTTGCTTGCAGTAAGCAAAATGTCTTCAAGCGAGGAGGATGTTATAGTAGCTTGGCAATATTTGCGAAGACGATTGAAACAAAAAAGAAAGCAGCGCCGTTTTTGGATTCATCCTCTATTTGTAGATAACATAGTACATAATCCAGCTTCTGTTACAAAAGAGCAATTAACGCTCAATCCAGAAAAATTTAAAGAGTTTTATAGAATGTCCAAAGAAAGTTTTAATCAGTTACTGCATATGGTAGGACCTAAGATAGAAAAGCAAGATACTCATTTTAGGGATGCGATTTCCCCTGAGGAGCGTTTATTGATAACATTACGGTAAGTAGATACCTATGCAATATAATTTGTGATAGTAGTAAATATTAATGATTTAATTATTGTACCATGTGTGTTCGTAGTCGCTTGTAGTATGCTGATTTTCGAATGTGGACGTTTCAGCCCTTTGCTCCTGCACAGGCCATTCTCCTAATGGCGTGTTTGGACTAGGCGTTGAAGAAGCAACAAAATATGACCCTGCCGAAGTCCTGCTATTGGTGCTCCATGTTGAATTAGTATTCCTATACGATCTAATATCCGCATCTTCCAATATTTCATCTACAAGCCCAATAACTTTTTGCCGAAATCGGCGATTTTGCTTCTCTGTCATTTTACGCATATCTGGTACTAAACTTCGTAAAAATGACATATTTGGATCATCATTTTTGTTATCGTCTCTTTCTTTTTTGTTCTTAAGCCACCCCACAAAAGCAGCGTCAACAGGATTTGGAGGTAATGAAGAAATTTGAGACAGTTTTCTCTTTTTTGCTATATTAGTAGGTGTAGTGACTTCTTGTCTACTTGTTACATTCACGTTCTCATTTGTAATTAAATCTGATAGCGAATTAGATGCATTGCCATCTTGACTTCTTTCATCATTTTGCGGTTGAGAATGCAGGTCTTCATTTTCCGTATTTTCCTGGGATTCGCTATTTTCTTCTTCAGAATTATCATCGATTGTTTCTAGATTTCCAGTACTTGCTTTACTTTTGGTAAAAGGAAGAATGAATTGTAAATGATCAGAGAGGTAATATTTTTTCTTTTCGTTAGTTCCTGCGCCGGATCGTGGTTTTTTTAACGATCTTAAAAAGGATCCTCTTATATTCCTCCAGCGTTCGCGACAATTAGGCACTAAAAAGATAAAACATACATAAATAAAAGTAGAGGCGGTTGGTTGAAATTTGTATTTTTTTTTAGGTATCTGGCTACAGGTGATAGTTTCAAAAACCTTTCATTCCAATTTTACCGAGGAGACAACACCGTTGGAAAAATAGTGAAAGAGACAACGACCGCCATATGGGACAGTTTGCAGCCTTTGTTTATGCCAACTCCTACTAAACACATCTGGAAACGAAATGCTCGCCGTTATCAAGATTTATGGAATTTGCCCAACTGCGTTGCTGCAATCGACGGCAAACACATTCGTGTTAAGAAGTTTGCTAATAGTGGTTCGAGCAATTTTAATTACAAAGGTTTCTTTTCAATGGTACTAATGGCTGCTGCTGATGCTGACAGTTTATTCACAACCATAGATGTTGGTGACTTAGGACGTAATAGTGATGGGGCAGTTTTTAGAACCTCCCACATTGGAAGATTGTTAAGAAATCAGAAATTAGAAATTCCCGATCCTTCACCTTTGCCAGGAAATGAAGATGCTGAACCTTTTCCTTTTTATTTATGTGGTGATGAGGCTTTTCCATTGTTGACATATCTGATGAGACCTTATCCCCAAAGAATTTTGAACCCTACTAGAAGAATTTTTAACTATAGGCTCTCACGAGGAAGAAAAAGTGTAGAATGTGCTTTTGGAATACTCGTGTCAAAGTTTCGTATATTCGAAGGTCCAATTTGTTGTGACGAAGAAAGCGTCAAAAGTATTGTAAAAGCTGCTTGTGTTTTGCACAATTTCATTAGAATACGAGAAGGAAAACTATGTACTCCAACGCATTTTAACGATGACATAAATCAACCACAAATAAATCAAGATCAAGATGGTTATCGCGAAACAACATTACCCATGAGACTTCGTAAAGCCCTAGCTAGCTACTTTTTGACGGCCGAAGGATCAATACCAATTCAATGGAAATACGCATAATAAACATATTTTTCTTACCTGTATCTTTTATTTCTTCCGCCACCTCTTTCCATGCCTTTTCTGTTTTATTTCTTTTACTATACTCGGATAAACCATAGTTATATATGCATGGGCGATTCTCTACCGCCTTAATAAAATTTATAGTAAACAGAGGATCTTCATTATTATTAGTCATTTTTATTGAATAATGTTTTTATTAATTTTCTCACACAGAATTTCTTGTTCGAACACTATATATTCACACAGACTTACTCGTTCCAACGCGCAACAATAACTGCAAAAAGACACGCATAGGATACCGCATGCAGTTTATGTCGTGAGACATGTGCATCCGCTGCACTGGTCTGAGATAGTTTTAACGACATGCACGTGTTTTAAATGGTTTCAAGCTGCGCAAGTCTATGCGCGGTATTTATATCGTGTTGTATGTTGCATGCTGCATGTTTGATGCATCCTTGGTGTGCGACCGGCCTTACAATTATATGCATACTATAAGGTCGCGCCGTTCTCATTTAAGCAGCGCGCCACAGCGCGGCGCCGCGCTTCACGAAGCAGCAACATCGGAATTGCTTTGTGAGCATTGCAAACGCGCTGCGCTGCTTGCTGACGCACAGATGTGAATCACAAAGCGTGTAGGAACTTGCAGAAATTGTCATTTAGTACTTCGAAATGGACGGTGAAACAATTGAAAAATTAATTTCACTGGGCAATGAGTATCCTGAATTATACGATATGAGTAGAAAAATTAATTGTACTCGTCCGCTTTCTTTTTTCGTCGTGTACATGGCATAGTGCCGCTATAAATATTATGAAATGATCTGGCGATGATGAAGATGGTGGCTCTTCTTCGAGCGTGTAAGAATACATTCTCCCTTAAACTGAACACAAACAGAAACGCTGCTTCGTCACGCTTCCAAATGGTGCTTAAGTGGGAATACCCCTCTATAATTTGCTGCTAGCGACGCGCCGCGCTGCTCTGCGCCGCGCCGCTCGGTGCTGCTCTAATGAGAATCGACCTTTACTCGGAGATTTAATGTTTTTGTGTTAAAATTTTGCAAATGTTCAAATATGCCGCGTGTATGGAAAAAAACCGACAGGGTCAGAAAAAGTAACTGTTATTGCGGGAATGTTTACAGTGGCCAAGGCTATAGCTTAGCTTAGACGTTTAGATAACCAGTACATGTATAGGATTAATACCCAGTGTTCATCACATGAAGTTTATACTTATTTCCCCGTTGTAATGGGGGAGTATATTTTATATATCAACAAGGGAAATCGATAATTAAATGGGAGCTAATTGTTGGCCAGAACTCATTATTATACATGATGATGATGACCTGGAAATTATTGATTTCATAATAAATGGAGGGTTACCAAGGCAAATATATATCAGGAATGACCATTTTCATGGATATGACAATGAGTCCTTTCGGAAGCGATTTCGAATAAGTAAAGTTTGTGCTATTGAGATTTTGCAGCAGATTGAAATGTATTTAGAATTTCCAACTGATAGGTAAGTTGTAGTATTACTTCAATATAATGAGATTTCTGAGTTGTGAACATTATTAGAGAAACAACTGTGTTTCTCCCATGAATCAGTTACTGTTAACTTTACGCCTTTATTCTACTGGTGGGCATTTGCTTAGTGTTGCCGATTTTTGTGGAGTACATGTATCAACTGCATGTAGAATTGTACGAAGAGTGTCAGAAGCCATCGCTAGATTGTACAGACAATACATTCAAATGGCAACCACACCAGATGATATGATGGCTTGTCAAAGAGAATTTTTCAATATAGCCTCATTTCCGAGGGTCGTAGGAGTTATAGATTGTACTCACATTAAGATTGATTCACCGGGTAATATTTTCGGACATGTTTTGTTTACACCTAAATTCGTTTTGTGATTGTTTAGGAGGAGAGGACCCAGAAATATTCAGAAATAGAAAGGGTTATTTTTCCATTAATGTACAAATGATATGTGATGCCAATCTCAAGATTATGAATGTAGTAGCCCGCTGGCCAGGATCAAGTCATGACTCCACAATATTCAGCAACAGTAGAGTTCGTGTAAATTTTGAACAAAATATTTACGAAAACTGTTTATTACTTGGTAAATGATTTTTAATACAAACATAAAATAATTAAAAACTTAAATTATTGTATAGGAGATAGCGGGTATCCTAATAGACGATACTTGATGACACCTCTTTTAAACCCAGCAACTCCAGCTCAACAATTGTATAATGAGGCTCATATAAGAACAAGAAATTGTATAGAACGTTGTTTTGGTGTAATCAAAAGAAGATTTCCAATATTAGCATATGGTTGTCGTCTCTTAATAAATAGCACTCTGAGCATTATCATGGCTACTTCAGTTCTGCATAATAAAGCATTACAAGTTGGTGACCTAAACGTGCCTAACCTACCTGATGAAGTGAACATTCACGAATTGGATGTTCAAATACAAAACGGTAACATACCTGTTCCCAATATGGATGGTATAGGAATTGTCGGATTCAGACATGAGCTTATTAATAATTATTTTGCAAATTTATAAGAAAAAAAATTGGCCTCTGCAATAAACCCAGTATTGAAATGTTTTTTTTTTAATTTTCATATCTACTATTTCACGCAACAGTTTTTTTTTAATTTTCACTATACACATGACCATTATAAACAACATATGCTATAAATTGCAACAAACCTAACATTATTAATGGGAACATTAAAAAAAATACATATACCTTAATCATGCTATTTTTATATTGGTATGATAATTTTAAGTTGCTTTTTTTGAAAAATACTCCAGCTGAAGCTTTTTAATTTCAATGTCCAACTGTTTAGATTGGATATCAAGTTGAAATGATTGGTTTTTCAATTCTATTTCTTCTTTAAGTTGCTTAAATTTTAACAATTTCTGTTCCTTTTCCAATTTCAAAATTTCCAATTTCAAACCTCGTTCAGTTTTTTCTTCCTTTATGGAAGTCAACTGCTCATTGGCAATTTCTGCTTTCACTTCAGCCAATTTTTCATATTGAAGTGCCAGGTTACCAGATTCCGTGACCACAGGTCTACGACGAGATGTCCAATTTGCTTTTGGCTGCCGTAATTTACAACTCGTTTGCTTCTTTAAATCTACAGCTTTATAAGATGCCCAGTCGTCTTTTTCCTGTAAAAGAAATATAGCACAAATTTGTTTTGTATGTGTAAACTAACATGAATTCTTTTTCGTGTTGATGAAACAGGAGTTTCATTTGGGGTTGATGGTGGGCTTTGTTCTGCCATTTCTTTATCCTAAAATAATAATTACTCATAGCTTTATTGGAGACAAATATATTAAATTAAAATTACCTCTTCAAATACAAATAGTAGTTCATCATTGTTAAGGTTAAGGGCATCTCCAACATTAACATTTTCTTCGCTTAAATCATCATCAAATGGATTATGTAATCCACTCACAGACTTTTTATTCATGATGGCCATGGTTAACTCCAGGGTAGGATCAGAGAATTTTAAAGTATCTTCAATCTGTCCTCCACCGGTTTTGAATTTTTCCGCACGATCTGCAGCTGCTGCTTTCCGTGTGTCTCGTTTCTTATTCTCGTAAAATTTCTTTATGCTCTCCTTCGTTCGATACACCTTACTACACATTTGAAACTCGTTTTGGATGTTATCCCAAGCCAAATCTTTTTCTTTTGAGGTAATTTGGTCAGTTTTTTTGCATTCTATGACGGACTTAAGTTTGGATATCAAATTAAGTAATAGTATCTTCTCATCGGCAGTAAAATTTGCACTGCGTTCTCGCACTCGTTTTGCCTCGTTCTCATTCATTTTCATTCCATTCATTTCAACTCAATAATTAATTATTAATTTTCTCTGCACTGCGCAAACTGTCATCAAACTACTATACAACAAACTGTTTTGACGTTTTGAGGTGACAAATGAATAACACGAAGATAGGGGATTTACGATAATTCAACCGCTTTAACCGGATTGGTAGAAATCACCATAGAATCAATTGTGGCAATAATTGTAACCATAGCAAAATTTACCAACCCGGTTTAACCGGTTGAATTATCGTAAATCCCCATAGATACTGTTGATTTACGTGCAAATTAGTTCAAATTGACATTAAAGTGACACTCAGGTAAGTGTTACTTATTATTTTTACGCGCAATGGAATTCACTTTAAGTGCAACTTAAATATTAAGTGACACTTAATTAAGTTTCACTTGAAACATTCATGGTGCAAACGGCCATTATTTAATGAATGTTTTCCCCCATTGCGGCAACGACAAAATTTGCGTAAATCGGCGAAGTTTTTTACCTCTGACCAAGTTAAGAGGTGTGAAAAGGACTTGGACATTTTGTACACAATGAAAGAAGCTGATGAACGATACCACGCACTTTATATACAAACCAGATGTAGATATACCTTTTGTTAAAAGAGGCTAGGAATAACTATTACGACAATAAAATTAATTTGTCAGACAATAAACCCCGAACAGTTTGGCAAATTGTTTCATCTTTAAAAAACAACCAACCAGCTTCGTGGGCATTTCACGATATCCGTCCAAACGAACTTAATCACAAATACCAACTAATTAAAAAGCTCAATTGTACAGTCTAAGCAAAATATCAAGATTAACTCCCCATCTAGGTCTATGTACGTTTGTCCCGTAACAATAAATGAAATCATGGGCATCATTAAGAATTTGAAAAATAAGTGTACAAGTGGGTACGACGGAATACCGAATACAATTATTAAATACTGTGCCGAAGAAATATGTGAACCACTACAGTACATCGTCAATAATTCCTTGCAATTTGGAGTATTTCCAGATAGACTCAAGACAGCAATAATAACGCCTCTACACAAAAGCGGCGACAAAAGAGATATGGCAAATTACCGCCCTATTAGCATCTTGTCTTCCTTTTCAAAAATTTTTGATCATGCTATGTCCAATCGAATAACTACCCACTAGGCACGCGATGTTATGTGTCTAAGAAGTAATGTTATAATAGTACATTATATATCAAGGTAGAGAAGTCCACTATTATTGCCTGAGCACCAAGATTACATCTCGAGGCGCTTGCGCCGAGGGGGGTAAGGTGCGAAGGCAATAATAGACTTCTCTACCGTGGTATATATACTATTTTTTTCACTACTAGCACTTGAAATCCTCTAAATTAACATATTATAATGATAAGAGAGTTAACGGTTGGACAGAATTGTTTGTTTCTTAATTTAACATGTCAATCAAGTACGTGGAAGTACAAGTCAAACAGGCCGTATTTTGTTCTGTCATTGAGATTTTTCAAAGAGTAATTTCGTTCGATTTTTTTCAAAATGTGATAATTTTAGGTATGTAATTTCTCTGGAAATTGCGAATGGTGGCAATTATTCGTTTTAGAGAACTTGTCTAAACGTTCATTGAGCGAAATTTCGGGTTGTGTTTTCTAAAAGTGACAGCGTGACAGTTCTCATTATTGACTACTATTTAATAATAAAAGATTATTAACCACTTTGAACAAATGCCGAGAAAGCCTACTTTACAAGTGGAAAAAAGGTTAATAATCATGTCATCAGACGCTAGTAGTGAAAAAAATAGTTTCAAAGTGGTGACAAATGTAATGTTTATGTTTAACGTGATTAAAACATAAATGCGACGTTTTCTGCTTTTTTGTTACAAAATTCACATTAATCTAACATCACTACGAACACGTGTTTTAAATGTTTTTATTGCGACGTTCAGATGATATCAATAAGTTGCAAGTAAACTTCATTTTCTTTATAAAGCGTCTCGTCAACATCACATCCCTGTCACGACTCGCGCTTGCTTAACCACTGCCGCAAAATCACATAACCTAAAAAAAGCATTTTGCAATTTTCGCGGTTTGTTCCTTTCTCGTTTTCACATCGATCGTTGGTTTGTTTTGAGGTTTTGTGAACGATGAATACAGAAAAAAAGGTTAGTATGATTTAAATATTTTATAAGATTAGGTATACTCCTTGTTTACAAATAAATTATTTGTACGTTTTAATTTACCAAAATTTGGCTATCATATTTGTAGCAATATCTACTTATTCTATTTATACCTATTTAAAATTATAGCCCTGAGATGTGTGTTATCATGGATTGTAGTTATTTAATTGAACAACTCTTATTAATCAACTGTTTTGACTGCTTGTATTAGTTTAATATTCTAACTTCATTTACTTGATTATATCGTTGAGTGAAGGAATCAAGCCTATAGTAAAAATCGTTGCATTTCCCTTCTCTGTCCAACATATGCAAACTTGCCCGTGGGGTATGAGTTCTCAGATCCCGACGGGTAAGCTCGTGTGCATTGAAGCGAGAAGCGTTGAAGAAAATGCAACGACTTTTAGTATAGGTGTTGGCTGTTGCGCCTCTACCTACATTCCTTCACTCAACGATTATATTATGAAGCAGTTCACAGATGATCATGCGTATTTGATGTAGTTCTGTAGACAAATACCCAAGTTAGTACTAATTCAACTGCGATTGTGAATAAGTTTTCAGCTTTGTAGAACTTCAAAATCGTTTGTATTTCAACGTTTTGTTATCACACGGTACTTGCACAATAATTGTTTCAACAGTATGCGGTTGTTAGTCTCATTAAAGAAGGGACCATTTCATTGGTACCATCATCATGGATATTGGACATAGAAAATGAAAAGAAAGAGTGTTGGTGGCCAACCAAAAATGTAAGAAAAGCAATAAAACTTGCACACAGTCCTACAAACAAGTGGAGTTTATGGGAAATGGAAGTGTTGGGAAAATATGGTTAGTAGGTCAATGTCTTTGACATTTTCTTTAAATAGTGTTTTTTTTAGAATCATACGAATTAGGCTTAAAATATGAACGGCAGTTCATAAAGGAGTCAGGATCCGAACCGGATGAAGAACACTTGGGTAGAGGCAAAAGGAAAAAAATTTAAAAAACTCAAGGTACACATTTATTATACGTAATCTAAAGTAAGATAAATAATCACAATAGAAATAAAAGATGCAAAATTATACTGTGCATCTAGTAATTTAAAAACTCAAAGTACACTCACTATTATATAACAATTATTGGATACATTAATGAAATTAAGTTTATGATTTATGTCCTTTATGAAAAATATTAGTATTATTATAAGTATATTGTATTTAGCTGATGACGATACCAGTGAGAGTGAATCCAATAGCAGTGAGTGCAATCACTCTGAAGAAACCACAGTACTGGAAATCGACGTTTTGAATGGAGAGAATTTAATTGAAGAAGCAACACTTGTTGAAGGTAATTTAAAAAAATCAATTTATGCGACTATAAAATGTGTTTCAGAATTTTTATTGCAACCTACAAATGGTAAGAAGGACAACCAATCCACTGACACATCTCAAGCGTTGACCATCTGCAACATAGGAAGTGACACGTCTAGAACTAGTCTACCTTCAATAAACATAACAGAAAAGGAAGAACTACCAACGATAATTACACACCATAGGGTCCTGCATACTCCCACAACTTCACGATCTTCATCTGTATCAATGCCAGTACTAGCCACAGATGGTATCACTTTACCTGATTTTAATTTCACTCTGATAGAGATGAATAATAAACTCTCGGAAATCCATAGAAAGCAATGTGAAATAGAGCAAAGAGTGCAAATTGTGAACGAAAGGTTAGTCGCTCTAGAGCAAACACTACCGCTGGGCACTCCAAATTCCATTAACAAAGTTGGTAACGATCAACTGCCAAAAAAGAAATTTTCTTCATTTGATGAGCTGCAAGAGTTTGAGGCGAATTTTACAGAAGAAACGAGAAAACAAATGGTAATGTAAATATAAATGTATAGGTACATTAATAAAATAGCATTTGCAGTTGTACCATATCAAGTTATGTGGTGGAAAGGATTATAAAGATGCAACAAAACGTTATTTGAAATTACTTTTTACCAATCAATTTGCTAGAACATGCTCGTGGACTGGTCAAAAAAACCATCACAAATTAAAGGACTTGGAGGTGGTGAAGGTAATTAAAGGTTAGTAAATTTCATTTAAATTGTTGAGATTCACAGTTTTAATACTTCTTTTATTTTCAGAGGCTGTTTGCTCCTGTTACAATGTAACCAGCAGGGATTTCGAAATTGTACTGATGGATTGGTTCCGTTATGCTACTCAAAGGGATAAAAGAGAAAAATCCTCTTGGTATGTATAAGAAGAGAAATTATTAGATAGGTGTTGTTGTTTATTAATTATGCACATGTATGGTTAGGTATGTTATTTCGTAGGTATTGCTACAATAGGTTATTTTTTAAGAATAGGTAGCTAACTAGATATAATATTCATTTCGATTTCGAACAATAATTATTTACCTAAAATTTTTTAATTTTAATTTCAGCCTTTAAAACGCAAACCACTTCATTTATTATCGGAGAAATATTTGAAAAAAATTGCCCGAGACCAAAGCAAGGATTTATGTACTTTTAATAATGCTGTTCAATATAACAGTAATGTCACTACACCGAATAACTCATTGGCTGTCGACACTAATGAAAGTACTGGCTTGGATGTTATATTACCTAGCATTACTCCTTCCCATAGTTCAAGTCCTCCCCATACAAATAATCTTAAAACTCCTACTCCTGCTGTTAATACTGCAGCAACCAGTATTTTTCCAAATAATCCGACATCCATAGAAAACGGTGATTCTTACTTTTTAGCTGATTTGACATCTTTTGCGTTAGAATCTTGTCTGTCTCGTAACAATTTCAATAACCTTCTAGATTTATTGCATAAACATAACAAATTGGCTGCTGATGCAGTGAAAGATAGTAGAACACTACTTAAAACCAATTATAATAAATCATCCATTGTGCAAATGGGATCAGGCCAATATTTTCATTTTGGAATAAATAAGAGTATTGCACACATTTTAGAACTGACAACTGTTATTCCTACGCTCATAAAGTTGGCTGTTAGCGTTGATGGATTACCATTATTCAAAAGTTCTTCCTATCAGTTCTGGCCAATTCTTGCATGCATAACTAATATAAAAACCCTAAAAATACCATTTCCAATAGGAATTTATTATGGACAATCAAAACCAGACAGTCCTGAAGTTTTTTTACGGTTCTTTATAAATGATTTAAAATTTGTAATTGATAATGGTCTAACATATAAAGGTAACGTGCTATTAGTTGATTTGGATTTTATTACATGTGATGCTCCAGCAAAAAGTTTTATCCTTGGGGTTAAAGGACATAATGCATACTTTGGGTGTACAAAATGCACCACTGAGGGCACTTATATAAGTAATCGTGTAACATATTCGGTTTATCGGTCGCTACCTCTGCAACCATTTAAAAGGAAAATTAAAAATCTTTTGAAAAGAGATTCACTCTTAAGGTCTAGCCACACATAAACGAGACGTGTACGATACGAGCGCGAGACGAGTGCCGGCACGAGCTCCGTCCCTTGACGTCCCAGTCACACTGTAACGTAGCCCCGTTGCGAGCGATAGTATACCTAACCTAGTTTGAGGGTTCAGTGATGTTTTCAAATTTTACTAGTACTGAATTGGCTATAATAGCCTTGGCGCTAGATGAAGAGGATAATTATAAAACTCAATCAAAGAAGAAAGTATGGGTCCATAATGCCTGGAAAAGTAGGGATACAGAAGGGGAATTTATAACACTGTATCCACATTTACTAGACGATGAAACAAAGTTCTACGAATATTTTAGGATGACACAGGCAACGTTTCAAGATCTATTAGGAAAAGTAGAAAATCAGTTAAAAAAACAAGATACATTTTGGAGATCTGCAATTGAACCTAAACAGCGGTTAGCAGTTTGCTTGAGGTGAGTATTTTGTTTGTATATTTTTTGCATGAAGTAGGTCTAAATATATCCACTCTGATTACAAGTAATATATGGCCGCTCTATTAACGTTTATTTGAAAAAAAAACCTTGTCATACATATTACATTTATGATTTAATACCATGGTGGCTGGTGGTGTTGGTCGCTCTGCTGCATTTCTGATTGAGTAGCGTTATTATATTCTGGAGAAGGCAGTGGTAGATTGTATTGAGGGGAAGGAAGTGGGGTGGAAGCATAAGAAGAACTAGGTGAAGAGTAAGTACTTAGTGGTGACGCTTGAGGTACGTGAACAACTCGAACTTGGGAAGGTAGCACAACCTTTGACTGATTATCCAGGAGTTGCTTTCTTTCCAGCTCTTGAACGATGCCAAAAATCTTTGTCTTCCCTTCATTTAAGAGTATTGGATTCAGGGCTTTCAATGTGTGTGATACGCCGTTTAAAAATGCATCAACTGGATGAAGCTGCTCAGAAGATGGTGGAGGTTGCTTCTGCCTTTCATTTCTCTTTTCTTCCAAAATATATGACATCAGCTGAGATGAAGCACTTTGATCTTGACGTTTATCGATTGTGTTAGCAGAAATCTTTTTCTTTTTGTGTATGGGCTTCGGGAATGAATCATTGCTTGCGTTTCTTTTGTTGATAATTTGGGCAGTGGCATTGTTTGCTGGAGATCCATAGTTAAGTAACAGATGCTGTTTTCAGTCATTGGCTTCTCTCCGTCTCTCTTTTGGGATGCAAATAATAATAATAATAATCTTTATTGTCCAAACAGGTGTAATACAAAACCCTAGAATAGGACAAAATTATAAGTGAGAGAGTAAAAATTAATGAAGTAAGTAACTCGTAAAAAATGCGGCTTTGTAATTTTCAGTGTGCATATCTGTATTTTTTCCAGCATCGCAAACGCTGCATGTATCGCTTCGTGGATATCCAAACGAGAGATTAAATTTTGTGGAAAATATGTTGCTATATGAAGACAACGTTATATGGAAACACTCCTCCAGTCCATCTCTTTTACATTCTTCGAGATACAACTTGTGCATTAGAGTAAATAGAGGCGACAAAACACTTTTTGTAACAATTTTTGTTTCTGGAGTAATGGGATTCTTCGGCTGGAAATTTTTTGATGTGATTTTCAATGCGGTCAATAATATGTTCATTAATTTTGTGTGGACGATTAGCATGACGACCTCTTTTGTCGGGTGTTGGTGCATTTTGCCCATTCTTTCACATCCGTTGTATAAGTTCAATTTTTTTTCGGCTAAACTGATACAAGGAGCACATCGCATCTCTGCAAACAAATTCTGACTTTTGGTTGAAGGTAATGGAATATGTAAACGTATATGTTTTTTGTTTCTTTACGTTTAATCTATGTCTCGCAACAGGTTTAATATTTAAACTTTTGAACAGCAATGCATTTTTCGCATTCATATCAAGACCATAGTATTTTTTTTAAGATTATTTTTTTGTCGTCTAAGTTAAATTTTTCAGTGCACTTTAACCTGCATTTATCCTTGCACAACAATCCAGAGTTTATTTCTTTTTGTGGCACAATCTTTCCTGTTTGAGACAAATATTCTTCTCCCTTTGTCCCGGCCATTGCAGCTTTCCGTCTTTTCCACTGATCCGGATTCCTAAGACGACGTCTCGAAGTCTTCTCTTTTAACTCAAATAACTTCTTCTTCACAGTTTGTCTTTTTACTTCAAAAACCCGGTCTTCTGCTCCTCCTGTGTTTCCCATTTCACTATCAGCAGTAACATGGTCTATGAGTGCAGCATCTTCGGGAGTTTTTGAGTACCTCATTGGATCATTATTTCTTTGCGATAATATTTTTTCACGAATGTTAATCAGCACCTCATTATCCGAGTCATCGCTTGATTCTCCATTGGGAAAGTATTCGCTCCCAGACGTTGCATCTTCATCAGTTAAATAATCATCCATATTTGATCTTGATGGTTGAAAACCATAATCGCCTATAACAGTACTACCGTAATACCTAGGTACTCTTAAACCTATTTTTTGTGTTGCATGAATTTTCAGGGCGATTGGTGATGTTCTCAGTTGAGAAATCTTTACTTGTACTAGGAAAATGGCATACTTCTAAAAATGATAAACATATAAAAAGTGCATAGTTGTCATACTCGGAGGACTCACCCACATTCTTTTCTAAAACACAAAAGTAGCTGGAAGTACTACTTAAGTTTTCACTCTTATCATTTTGTTTATTCAAATTCAAGCCTAAAATTGTTAAAAAGTAATGGAAACCTGATATGATATAATGCAATCATTTTATTCCTATACCTTCCTGTAGTGTAGCCGGTGGCTGCTTTTGCGTATTTAGAAGCTCTAAAATGTATTTTCCTCTAGACATTATTTTAAAACTGCAAGTACATCATCACAAACAAAGTGCAACACTTTCACAAATCTTTACACATAACCTTTTCAAGCGCGATGGTGGAAGTAAAACTTTCTACTAACAGTGGATGAATGTGTTATGTTTGACGTTAAGTACATAACACCTTTATCCACTGTGGAACCATAAAAACAGTGGAACATAACACCTTCATCATTAAAAATATCAGCTATTCACCATATTTGGACTTCAAACTGATTAACAAATGAAAGAATAACATGTTTAATATCACTACGCAGAAGTCAATTTAAAAAAAAAATGTTACATGGCACCTTTATCCACTTGTATCTTCAATTAACAAATCACAACACATGAGTTTAGTTAGGCTAAAGTTACAACTGCGCGCAAGCACAAATAAATGTTATTTATGGAGCTGCACAGTTTCTGTCTGTCCCGTTTGGATGCGCCAAGCGTTATAGTGACGTCACTAATTTTCATTAGCCGCCAACGTAACTTTCTAAACCAATATTTTCGTAAACTACAATTCTATTTTATATTTATATCTACATTAGGTTTAATTTAACTACGTGGTACAAATATAAAATGCATCAACTTAACTGCTTAAACTTCTCCAGATCATAATGCATTCCAGTCAGGCCAGCGGTGGTATTCCGTGTACTGTCGAATTCTACAGTTTGTGGTAGTGGCGTCGCGTTTCGAATTACGTGAACCAAAAATAGCTACCTATCGCTTTGGCAACAGTCGTTTTATAGCGACACATTTTCAGTGGTCGACAAGACAAAGAAACTATCGCGTAGAAAAAGAAAGTAGGTGCTATCCGCGTCGTTTACCGTTGAAGTAAGGTTAGGTCGGTTGTGTTTACATCACGCTTCTTGTGCTCGTTGTTTTTAATAAAATAATCATGCGAGTTACAGTGGAGCATTGGGTAGCTTTTTTAAATTTCGCGGAAATACATAACCAGGTGATAACTAATAAATGCGATGGGAAAAATGGGAGACAACATTTAAAAAGTTTATGGGAGACCATAACTAACACCTTAAATGGACTTGGGTACGGATCCAAAACAACCGATGAGTGGAGGAGAGTAAGTACCTAC